CAAATGGTGTTGTGAAACAGACGGATCTACACCCGGCATCTCATATAGAGTCCACACAAATACATCAAGGTTGTCGAGCAGGAAGGAAATTAGCTGCTGCCTGTCGGCTTGATTCAGGAAGACGCCGACCATGAAGAACCTGTCTGGGTTTCCGCCAATCTCAACTCGATCTAGGGCTTCCATGGCTTTTTCACTTGGGAGCCGCCCAACATCGTTGAGGCTCTCTCGATTCGGCACCTCAGTAGAATTCACTTGCAACTCTTTTGGCATCTTTCCAGTAAGGAGATAACATGCTTGTGCCGATTTCTGAGAGCCACGGATTTGCTCAATGCCACGTTCTGTCGGGAAGCGTAGCAGCTGATGATAAGTGCTTGGCATGGCCTGCATAGTATGCAACCAAGTTCGCCCCATGATGAGATTATACGGCGATGGCAGCTTGACGACAAAGAATTCCACATCCACTGTTCGGGAGGCCGCTTGAACGGGTAGTGTGATCTTTCCTAGCGGGTATTCTAGATTCGCGTTGAAGCCGAATAATGGATGAGGAGCTGGAGAAAGATCCGATTTGGAGAAGCCAAGTTTGGTGAATGTCTTGTAATGTATAACTTCCGATGTGCTCCCCAAATCAATGAGTACGCGCTCAACGGTGAATTGGTTTACGTGTAACTCGATTACCAAGGGATCGATGTGGGGAAGTGTCACTCTGGCCAAATCTAAATCATCGAAAGCAATGCTCGCAGCTTCATGGAGCCATTTAGCTGGAGTGAGTTGATTTGAGGGTCGGGACTCGACTGAATCGTATTCACCGCGGATGACATTGGTAGGCTGTAAATCATGTGGATCACGCCGATTGAAGGTAAATCCTGTCGTAAGGCTATTACTTTGGTTGAGTTTCCTTTTCGGACGTACTGTTGTAGCCAACCATCTTGTACCAATTCTTCCAGATGATCCTTCAATGCATAACAACTCTCAATATCATAGCCGTGATCCTTGTGATACTCGCACCGCCTATCCCGTCTTCTCGTTTCGGGAGGTCCTACCATTTTGGACGGCCATTTGAAGAACGGAAGGTGCTGGACTTTGGACATAACCGAGCTGATCAGCTCTGACAACTCCGTATATTTCTTGTCTGCGCGCCTTGTGCGCCTGCCATCGACTTGCAGTTGTTCATTTGCTCGGTGGGGGCATTGATCGCTTGATCGGCGAGAATCCCGTCTTTTATCTCGTTTAGCCCAATGTCGTGGTTCAAGGCTCTGAGGTGGTACAGAATTTAATGACTGAGCATTTTCAGAAAGGGCCGTCTTGTTGGCCACGTTTCTGGCTTTGGCTTGCAAGGCGTCATCTTCCACTTTGCAGTATTCCTCAACTTTCTTCATCAACGCCCAGATTGTTTTGGGCGGTCTTCTAGTCAAGAAGCTGCGGAGAGCACTGTCAGGATGCAAACCCATTTTAAAGGCGGTGATAGCCATGGAGTCGTTGCAAGCATCATCAACAAGATTAAAGCATTTCCAATAGCGCGCCGAATACGCTCTTAGTGTTTCTCCTGGCTGGATATGCATTGCCCAGAGAGAGTCGGCTTATTTCGGCTGGACCTCGTTGGTGATGAATCTTGCCCTGAAGAATTTTTGTAATTGATGGAAACTCTTCATCGACGTTGGCTTCAACTTATAATACCATATGACTGCCAAAGGTCCCAAACTGCTCGGAAATATTCTGTACATGAGAGCTTCGTCGTCTGCATGCAACGTCATGACTTGCTTATAGTGACGGATATGATCCGTAGGATCCGATTTCTCGTCATACAAGGTGAACGGCGGGGCTTTGAACTTCTTGGGTAGTACTACCTTTGCGATCCGTCGCACAAAGGGATCATGCTGGTCCTCTTCGTCTGAACCATTTCGTCTTCGCTTATGCCTTATACGTGGACTCTTTTCAGAGGAACTGGTGGTTTCGGGTCGTCCCTTCTTCTTGGGCTCCGGGGATAATGAGTCGGAGTCGCTGTCAGTGTCTTGTTGTCAGGCTCGAGGTCGTCGACCACCTGCCCTCAGAGGTTGTTCCGGATCTTGCCGTACAGCTTGTTTGGACTTCGCCACTTCCAAGGCCAAATCCTGACGGAGACGTTCGTTCTCAGCGATCATGTTTTCCAACCTCTGTTCGTTTTGCTTTGCTTGTTTCATAATCGCTTGCATTGTTTCATGTGCTGAAGTCGAGGGTGAGTCGAAATTCAAGACGCGTCTTGTGGCGATAGTTTCTGGTCCCAACATATTTGTTGGAGTGAGATCATCTCTCGGTGTAATTTCATCAGCGATTATCGGAGGATCTTCCGTTGCGCCCGCCATGAATGCGGTTGAGTATTCCCACAGACGGCGCCAATTGTGGGGAAGGTGGTTTGGAAATACTCTTCGGATCCCGGGGGACACTCGTGATCCTCTGCTATTAACCTGAAAAAGAATGAACACTCCGGTCAGGGGTGCCAGAATTAGCACTCCGACGGATAAGTCAGTGTATGCTCTCTAAGTTACGTGTGTCTTAAGTTAAGCGCACTAATTCTCACATACCTCTCTGTGAATGATGTTCTTCTACTTATATCTTTTTCTTTCTTGGGCTTCGGGACTGGGCCCTCCTTCAATTCGTCGTATAACTATTTGCTCGGCTCCTCTTGCTGCGCATCGCTCTTCATTCGGCCCTTTACTCAACTGGTTATTTGGCCGAATACAATACTTCTAGATTTACATGTATAAGACGAGGCCGAATGCGATATACGAATTTTGACTCTCCCGGTCCGACTATTCGGCTCCTTTACGTGTCCCAATATTCGGCCCCCACAGCTCTCAAAAAATTTCTGCCATTATATTTGTTGATAAAAAAAAAAATGGCTTCCTAAAAATAAATCAAAAAGCTAATTGATGTAGTGAACTATTTAAAACTAATGAATAATTGTTTTTCAAATGTATGTACTATTATGTATAGAATATTATTGACCACAATTGTTAAAATTGCTTCTGCAAAAGAAACTTTCCAAAGTTGAAATTGATTAGTAATTCTGCAACAAATGGAAAATTATCATGTTTAAGTGATACATTGTTATAATTTGTTCATTTTGTATTTAAGACGCTAGCTTAGATTACTTTGATCCTTAATCTTAGTCTACATTTGAATGATAGTAATCTTGGAGAGGAATGAGAATGTGAATGTGATTTCGGATCTCCATATATGAGGAGTTACACTTCTTAAAAAAGCATCTCATGACAATCACAAGCTCATTCGCAATAGTTGGTTTATCCATGCTGTTAATAATTTGAGTTTTGTACACATTTATATAAAAGTTTAAAATTTTTAAATAAAATTTAAATTACTAACTAGTCCAATTTTGACAAAAAAAAATATTCAAAATCAATTCATATTAGAAACTTGTTTTGAAACTTTTATTTTTATTTTTTAATATGTATAGAAAGCCTTATGTTAAAAGCTTATTTTCGATCCCAAAAAAGGTCAAATCCGGCCTGGATAAATTGTCTGCTAGGAAAGATATGAGTGGGAATGTGGGAGTGAAATAGAAAAAGTGATAAATATTTAGCTATTATTTCATTTTTTCTTTTGTTTTTTTTTTTTTTTAAATTGTTGAGTGGTGATTCTGTTTAGAATGTACATTTCTTTTATTTTTAATTAACTAAACATAGAAATAAGTGTTCTAACAAAATAATCATTTTATTTAAAAACTTAAAACGTGCATACATGATAGATAAGAACAATTATATAAAAGGCAATTTGAAAAGTAAAAAGCTATAACAGCTTAAAAAAGGATCATGTACACTTTAGATTAGTGGTCTAGCCCTTCTATTAGCATTTTACCAATGTGAATGTAATATATAGACTTTGTTGTATTCATTCATCTATGGGGTTAGTGTGTTTTGCACCCCACCCCCCACCACTCAATTAATTTTTGTGACCCCTTTTTTTTTTCTTTTTCTTTTTTTTTCTTTTTTTTGATGCCTTTGACTTTGTGTTAAGCAATTTGTGTGAGAGAGAGAAAGAGAGACATTTGGTGAGAGAAGTGTGGGATGTTTGGTTGAAAAATCAACTTGTTTGGTGCTAGGAAGTAGGTAGGTCATGGAAGAAAAAAATGGATGGAAAGTAAAATTGGAGGAATTTGGTTGCAAAAAGCCATGGATGGAGGGAAGGTCAAAAGGAATATTCAAAAAACATATGCCAAGTTGACAAAGAATACTATATATGAAAATATTTTTTTTCAAAAAAAATGAATTGAATGTAAATGGGCAAGAAAATATGAATGATTTGTTTTTTCATTAATTGTTAGATTTATAAGAAAGGTTAGGTAAAAAAATAATATAAACTTTGTTTATAATGAGTAATGCAAATGATAGTTTCAAAGGTTGTTAATTGTTCGATTTATAAGAAAGTTTAGTTAAAAGTAATGTGAACTTTGTTTATAATGAGTAATGCTAATGATAGTCTAAAAAGTTGTCAATTAAAGTATAAAAAAATTTCAAATATATATAAGGTTTTGTTAATTGGTGTCCTTAAAACACTTGATAAGAAACTTAAAATACTTGCACATAATGCATAAAAATGCATACAATATGTAATGTACAATCAATTTAAATATTGTTAACCAAACCTCTTAGAACTCGTAAACCAAACCTATATATATATATAAAGAATTTTAATCTATTTTTTACACATTTATTAGGGTTAATGAAAACCCTATTGCCAATTAACATTTTCTCACTCCTATACTTTCTTGCCTTTTCTTTTTTCTCTGGTAACGAGAAAAAAATAAAAAATAAAAAATTAATAATAAATAATAAAAAAAATCTTTTTACCAAAAAAAAACCAGTGAGAATAAAAATGTTATTCGTATGGAATTTTACAATGTAAAACGGTAGTCATGTCATTCCGTGTCAAATTTGAGAATTTTTTTTGTCCCAATTGTTGATGAGAACACAAAAGAAAAAACAGAAGATAACAACAGATGACCATATTCAAAATATTCAAGAATCAAATAAACAAAGAAAGGGTTTGGAATTCAAAGAATTGTTTCCTTTGAAAATTCAGAATCTCAACAAAAATACAGTTCTAATATGAATAAATATTGGAGAGAGTCAAAAAAATCTTGGATGGCTCTAAAAGCACAGAGAAAAACCCAAGAACTCTCATTTCAACCTCTAAAAAAAACTCACTCATGCACAATTGCCACTCTCATTGACAATTTTATTTCTCACAATATAATATAGAGAGATACTAATAATTAATAGCTTCTAGCTGCAAAATTTATGGGCAAGTTATGTTCAAGGCTTCATCAATCCAAGCAAGCTCATCATTGCCTAGATCAAAATCGTAGTTGGGAAGATCATTTCCCTCTCCATTTTGAAACTCACATACCGGAAAGTCCATGTCCATGTCCACGTTATCCAGACTGTTGAAAAACTGTCCCAAATCATTACCATATAGCGAATTGTTCTCAAACGCCGAGTTGAGATCTCCATTGATCGAGGGTGAAACTGAAGGCTCTTGCAAAAACTCCGAAATGGGTGGTGGTTGTTCCAAATCCTCAAAACCCAAGTTGAAATCTTGACAAATTAAGGGTGAGACAGATTGATCATCATCGTATGGAGAATTGTTCTCAAATGCCAAATCAAGCTCTCTACTCATCGAGGGTGAAACTGAAGGGTCTTGCAAAATCTCCAAATTGGGTTTTTGTTCCAAATCATTAGTAGGTAGCAAATTCTCCTCAAAACCCAAATCAAAATCTTGATCAATTGAGGGTGAGACAAATTGATCTTCCAAGAATGCCGAAATGGGTTGCTCTCCTTTTGCAATTTGTATTGTATTGGCTTCTTCCTCCTTGATTGAATAGGCAGGGGCATCGACAAATTTCAATGAACCACCTTCATCTTTGTTGAAATTTCCAGAGCCATTGACAATAGATGTTGTGGAGATATCGAGGACAGAGGATGGCGATGGATGAGAATACAATCCATTAGTCTCCTCTGAAACACAAGGGTGGCATATAGGTGAAGCCACACACGAATTCAAGTTCTTGTTCCTCTCTGACAAAAGTATCGATTCAAATTCAAGCTTCTTTTTCTCATAAGCATTGGAGGCCTCTTCGGCCGTGTTGTAAGTTCCAAGCCATATTCTTTTCCCTCTAATAGGATCACGAATCTCTGCTGCGTATTTTCCCCATTTCCTTCTCCGAACCCCTTTGTATAACGAAGATGATCTTCGTATCTTCTGCTTTTCACCCAATTTACTACCAACTATCCTCCTCTCATTACAATGCTGCAGAGAATTTGCTGCATTTAACTTGTTTGGTTCCTCAGAAACAACAATCTCCCTAACAATCCGCTTAACTCTCACCAATCCGTTCTTATTATCATAAATTGACTCGTCATCATCGCTTCCAGAATCGGTGGCATAGGGATCACTGTAAATTATTCGAACTTTTCTAATCGGTTTCTTATAGTCCTTGCCTGTTTTCTCCTCTATTTTCTTATTATGATTCAGCAACTTCCTTTGAACCACTGGCATCTTCTTCTTGATATATATATAACAGAAACCCTAAACCCCAAATGCACCAATAATAAGAACAACCCTAAACCCTAAAAAATTTGAAAATCCTTAGTCCCAAGAAAAACCCAAAACCCTAGGACTCAATAGTGAAAACAAGAAGGGTTTTATATGAAAAGCCCCAAAGCACTCCACACCAGAAGAAGTCCTGCACAAATGAACAAGAAACACCCAAAACCCTAAACCCATCAATACCCAAAATCACAAATCACATAATTACAAATATATATACACATGTGTGTGTGTGTGTTTATATACATATGTATATATTGATTTATAGATTGAAAACAAACCTTTTTGATCTTAAACGCATGGAAGAATATGGAGAGAGGGTTGAGAGTGATGAAGAATGAGAAAAGAGCCAGTGGTGCTTGGATGCTCCACTGAACAGATCAGCAACAGCCAAAGACATATATCTTCTGTTTCTCTCTCTCCTCTGCTCCCCCAAAATCACCCCCTTCTTGTTGCAGAGACAGAGAGAGAGAAATAGCAACAGAAGCTACAGAAAGAAAATACAGATTATATATAAGAACCCCCAGAATTGAGAAACTATTTTTAGTATTTCTTTTTGGGGAATAGTTTCCAAAAACATGTATTTGTCGTTAAAAAACACATTCATTGCATTGATGAGTGCAAAGATTGCAATTACCAAAATTGTGACTTACCTTTTGTGGTAAAATTTCAGTCCTCTATTTTAGGCCTTTTTTGAAAACCTCTTTTAACTCATATTATTTTTTTATTTTTATATATATATATATATTTTAAAAATCAAAATTATTAAATTGTTTGATATTTTTAAAAATTTATTACAATTTAGT